ACACAGTCCTCTTAACGTGAGTGCGCACAAAATGTACATGCGTGTGTTGGTAAATAAACATATTTTGATGCGTATGCTTGAAAACATCCCACTCGCTAAACACACGTCGCGTTGTAACGCTGCGTATTCTGGCCAGATGGGCAGAGCACTCTCACCTCAGTGATGGCCTCAGTAAGGCTCCACTTACAGCGTCGATCAGCCGGACAGTGTCCAGACAGTGATGCTTAGTTTTTTATAGAAAAAACATCCCGCAGTGGGGGCATTTTAGTGAATCGCGTGGCCGGAACACAAAGCACTTGGGGTAGTCCGCGCTTCAACCTGGCCTCGGGGATTCAGCTGCGAAGCATTTCATCCAGCGTCAGTCCTTCGTCCACATCTTGACTTGTCCCCCATTTGGAACACTCTCAAGCCGAGCCTTTCGCTGACCGGTGGACACGACTGGGGAGTGAAGCGCGCGCTGTCCAGCGCTGCAAGGTGACCCGACCATTCGCTGCGGGTTGCAAAAACGAAGCTGCTGTTGCGTACTGCCCTTTGTCTTACCCGAGGGGCCGGAATGAGTCGGCCACCCGGTCGAAGCGATTATGGCATGCATGATGCCTGCATACAGCATGGGTCATATTTTGAGAGATTAAGTCCATAGCATGTGCAGAGTCTAGAAAACCGACATATGAAGGAGACACGCTCCTTCTCCTAGACGGCTTGTCCGATCGCCTTGAGACCTTAACCAACCAAATAAGTAGTGCGGCAGCAATATCAAGATCTGACCCAGGGTCAAACACCTCAAAAACGCGAAGGTAAAATTCGCATGCATAAGCAGACAGTTTAGACATCGGAACCTACTGTGCCGTTAGTTGCGAAAACTTCACCTTTGGTACGCCATCCCTGACTTCCTCGTAAAATTTTAAATTTGGTAACCTTAGGTCAGGTCAAAAGTCATCAGATTTCACAACCTACAAAATTATCGCTTGCAGACAACTCAGCTCTCGGAACCTGCTGAACCGATCATTGCGAAACGTTGAACACCACATATTCCTTATCTGATTGCCTCTTGCAGTTGAAAATCTGGCGACCCTAGGTCAGGTCAAGTCATCAAATTTCACAGGTTCCAAAATTATTGCATGCAGATTATTGATTTAGAACTGATTGCTCCGATAGTCTCCAAACCTTCACCATCCGATAGGACATACCTGGCGGTTGCGATGCATGCCATGAAGCTACACGCTATCGCTTTCTGTTGTGCCCAGGGCCGTGGGCCTTTTTGCGGTCGTGAACATTACAGCAGAAATATTTATGCATATTTTGTGAGCAAATGCTGGGTAATCGTCTTCTTTTTGATGAGCAAAGACACCCGAAGTACCCGGGACAAGACATATTCAATTTTCGGCACATTTTTGACAGGCGTTAATCTTTGTAATCACGCATTGGCACGGCCGCCCACGGCACGCATGGTGAAGCTCAAGGACCCGTTGACCAAAGCTGTGACGTCTTTTCCGTCCTTTTTGCCACCGTTCGCTTCAGACACTCGTCCCTCGGTGACAAGCTTCACACAGAGCGCAGAAAGCAAGTACCCAGGAAGGATTCTGAGGTCAAGCATCTTTCACAGCAGGAGACTGACCAGGCCGGTCCGCTTCGGCCAGATCCACCGAGCCTGCCCTCACAGCCGGGCGCCTCAGATCTACGGCATCCATCACAGCCGTGGCCCAGGCTCATATCGATTCGGCGGACTTCCCCACTTGCAGCCAGCAACCAACAAAAGGCTGCTGAAGAGGCCCGCACATAATCACGACAGAACGGTATTTGGGCACCACACACATTGACCATCCCCGCATCACCACGGCCACAGTTCTTGTAATCGCGGCGACATCGTGCACAACTCAGAATGTGACTCAGTAGAACACATTTGCTGACGACAAATTCAAACAACAAATCACATCCCTGACCTCATAAGGCCAGTCTACCCACGCTACACGTGTTGCTAGGATTAAGCATAAAAAGGCATGGCATAATTGTAAATGGTACCATATTTACGGTTTAAAGGGAAATCGAGTGCGGCGTACTGAATGATAAAATTTCGTATCAACTGGAGTGGTTGGTTTTGAAAACTGAGTTGTCTGCGACTAATAATTTTACTATTCGTAAATTTTTATGGCTTTTGCCTTGACCAAGGGTCACCACATTTTTCGACAATGAGGTATGGCACATCCAATAGCGAAGTTTTCACAGCGATCGGTGAAGTGGGTTCTGAAATCTCAGTTGCCTGCTTTTGCAAGCGAAACTTTGCCTTCGCGTCTTTGAAGGGTTTGGCCCCAGGTCACGTCCTGATATTGCCACCCCATTATTACCTCATGGCACAGGACTGGTTGGCGAAGGCCTCAAGGCGATCGGTCGAGGCGTTTCGGAAAACGAGCGGGTTATCTCCATATGTTGGTTTTTTAGAGCCCGTCCACGGCATGTCCTTTTTCGTGTAGAGATCCTACGCCGCGACCATGAAGCTGACGAGATGAGTCGCCCTTGAACTCGACAAAGCCCCTACCATGCTCCGGCCTTTGTCTACGGCTCCACCAGCCAGCACAGCTTCACGCCGCGAAGAAATCTACCCTTCGTGCTCGGCAGACCATGAGAAGCCGGGCTCATTTTTGGCGCCGGCCAGTTTTTACTAGCGTCGGGGCGACTTTTTGTAGCGGCCGACCGCCGTGTCTGGTCCTGCTGGTGGGCCCCTCGCATACACTGCGCTCCTCTCGCCGGCGTCTTGGAGTACTCACGTCTGTGTCACTCCGTGGCGACTCACGTCTGTGTCGCTCCCCGGCTACTAGAACTGCGCCGATCGCTTGCCCCAGTGTGTCTCGCCAGATGTCCGTTTAATCCGTACCTCGTCCCCCCCCCCCCCTCACCCACGCACCTGATGAACCCTGCCCGACTCGTGACAATGCACTTTCCTCGTGCTGTTTTAATGTCTGCGCTCCCATCATCGTGTGCTGTGTGGTGATTAAGGGACAGAGATCAAACATCAGAGATCATGCCAGAACGCCACCAGTGGAGGGCCGGGACGGAGACTCGTAGTGTGCTCGCTGTTGCACGCACTGGCGGCCGCGCGCTGCGCGCTGTCGAACCTCGCGCCACGCCATATATGGGTGGAAGTGGTCCACTGAGCGGGCAGCTGACATACAGTGACGTGCAGAACTTCGGCCATCGGTGAATGCATCCAAACCGAATGAGGGCATCGCCTTCATTCAAAAGCGTCATTTCGACGGTTGAGAACTTCGTACTCATGAACTGGATCAGAACCGACTCAGTCTACTACTCTGCACGCTGTGACGCCGACACGCAGCTAGCGCCTGCGGCAACCCCCGCACTCTAACACTGCGAGACCGTGCGGACGGCCACGGTGCCAACAGAGGCCCGCCGGGGGGGACGGCAGCGATCATCCGACAGCGGGCCCCGGGCTATTCTGGAGCGGTCGGCGTGACAGCGCCGGTGTCTCGCGGCCGCCCATTGGCGGAGCCCGTCGGCGCGGCCACCCCCACCGCCGGCCGCTATTCCGGGGCCGGGGCGCAGCCGCCTCACATGCCGGGCTGCGTGCTTGGGGTGGCGGGCTTCCGCGTGACCGGAATGGACTCCGCCGGTGCCGATCTACCGGCCAGAGCGCAGCGGCCGTGCTCGGCGCACGTTCAGCTACCCGATCGTGCGGGAAAATGCGGCCGACATACATGCACAGAAGCTGTATTGAAACACGTCACCGCCATCCGTCAACAGCGGTGAACAGTGCTGCGTGTGTTGCATTGAGTTGACGGGGTTTCAAGATCACATCGCACGGCGCACACACGCACGACCGGCGGCGCGGCGCACCGCAACGTCACCGAGCTCACAAACTACGGGGGAGGCGGTCAGCCCCGGCTCGCGCAGGTACTACATGTCCGACTCAACACACATACAGGGGCTGACCAACAACGGCATGTTAGGCACTAGATAAAGGCGTTACGATATTGCAGACGTTGTGATGCCAAGAGACGCACGTGCGCCCGCGTTCGCATAAGGCACTTCTTTTCCGCGTGGAAGCGTTTGAAATATGGGCAGTCAGCAGACGCTTGTTTCAAGCACAATGGTCACGACCAGCAGCCAAAGATAAGCAGGCTTGTAGTAAAAAGACAACATGATGGAATATGACAGAGCGCGCAGAGCAAACAGGCCACCTGTTTCAAAACGAGTACCAGCCATGTATAAATGCATACTTTTAGAGCAGAAAACAGCAACATCTGACTAAATCACATGAAAAACACACTGATAAGTTAAAACAATATTGTGAAGACGTCATGTTTGCGAGTTCAGCTCCCCAGCATCCGTGGGTGCGCGGTGCTAGTCACAGTATCGACAGTCGGAGCAAACCCTGGCCGCTGCTTCAGCACGGGGCGGCCAAATGCGAACCCGATCGACCATGGCCGGCTGGGCACGGCGTGGTCGCCAGGGTGATGGCCAATACGCATCCACAGCGTGGCGAACACCACTAACGGCGGCAGAGGGGTGGGCGCGACCTGGACACAGCGGCAGAGGGGTGGGCGCGACCTGGACACAGCGGCAGAGGGGTGGGCGCGACCTGGACACAGCGGCAGAGGGGTGGGCGGGACCTGGACACAGCGGCAGAGGGGTGGGCGCGACCTGGACACAGCGGCAGAGGGGTGGGCGGGACCTGGACACAGCGGCAGAGGGGTGGGCGGGACCTGGACACAGCGGCAGAGGGGTGGGCGGGACCTGGACACAGCGGCAGAGGGGTGGGCGGGACCTGGACACAGCGGCAGAGGGGGTGGGCGGGACCTGGACACAGCGGCAGAGGGGTGGGCGGGACCTGGACACAGTGGCAGAGGGGTGGGCGGGACCTGGACACAGCGGCAGAGGGGTGGGCGGGACCTGGACACAGCGGCAGAGGGGTGGGCGGGACCTGGACACAGCGGCAGAGGGGTGGGCGGGACCTGGACACAGCGGCAGAGGGGTGGGCGGGACCTGGACACAGCGGCAGAGGGGTGGGCGGGACCTGGACACAGCGGCAGAGGGGTGGGCGGGACCTGAGCATGGCGGCAGGAGTCGGTCCACGCGTCGGCGCCCGACATCACCAGCAGGGATAGTACAGGCGTGAAGCCGCTCACCAGTGCCGCCGGTGCCCCACCGAGCCGCCCTGGGTCGCCGCCGGGGGCGCCAGCGGGCCACAGGCGCCTCCGGCGTGACGTCGAGCAGGCCGCCGCCGCGCGGGTAGCGCGGTATGCGGCTCCTCGAGACGCTGGGGTGACGGCCGGAGGGCGGGGGGAGGGCTACAGGCAATCCAGCGCCGATGACAGCGTGGCGAAAGAAGACCTGACACACCCGATGCTGTACACAGAAAGAGGGCATGGAGCAGTGGGCAGGGACGGAGAAGAGAAGGAGAAGGGCCAACATGATATCGTGAGCGCCGTTGGCGTACAACACTAACGTTTGACGCGCAGTTAACATGAACGCTTGGCGTAACAATTAACGCCGTTGGCGTGCAACCTGATAACGTTCGCTGCTGGCGCAAAACACAACTGCATCTGGCAGGGCTCCCGACCGTCCATACTGAGTGAGACAGAAGAACCAGGGGACCAGGAAACACGAACCTTAACCACGAACGACTTCAGACCCAGCTGGGAAGCCCGCAGCGGCACGGCCAAGCTGCACCACAGGCTCCGGTACCTAGTCATCAGCTGACGCCGATCAGTCGCCATGACAACGCCGCCTCGTCTGAGGCGGAACACCGAGCGGAAGACACCAGATCCAGGGCAAACAGACACATTCTCTGACGGATCAGAACACAACGGCAACGTAGTGACAACTCGGCCACGCATCGGCCAGCCCACACCGGAAGACGGCCGGCCCCGAAAACGAACGGACAGCGATAACAAGCCCACAGCGGGACAACACTGTGTAACGAGTCGGTAGTATACGTCTTCACGGCGGTCGGAATATGGCACTTCCGGAAGCCTCTGAACGCACCGCATAAAGGTGGGGTTCCCCAGGCCAACCACGACACGCTGCCAAAACGGACAGCATAAAGAAACAGGCGGCATGACTAAAAGCGTGTCACAGATGACACCTAAAATAAACCATTCAACCTCAAACAACCTTCGTTTGGCACTGCGGCATCGCCCCCGGCAAGCTTGCACTAGCGATCTACTTTTAAAGATACTGAGCATCGACACACAGTGTACGGCTATTAAATAGCCGTACCAACATTCGACTACTGAGAAGACTAGTAGCGTAACACATGCGGAAAAAACAAAGCCACATACATTCTCTCAAGCGTCGCCATAGCACCAATCCAGCACCTCAGAGAGGCCTCCTCCGCATCTGAAGACAGCCTAAGCCCGCCGCCCGAGTCGCACCAGGGGCGAGCCCTCTTCCGCGCGCCCAGCCCCGCACCACCACTCCCTCCCGCCGGGGCCTGTGTCACGTGACGACGGCGGCGGCGGTGGCGCGGGCGACGAACGGCGCCGTCTCGCCGTTGGTGTCGGCAGCGTCGAGCCTGGTCTGCGGCGGCGGCGGCGACCGGTCGGCGGCGGTGGCGCCAGCTGGTGGCCGGCCGGCCAGCAGCGGCGGCGGCGGTTCCAGACAATCGACAGCTACCCAGCGACGCCGGTGCAGCACGCTGGCCACGCGCAGCAGCTGGGGACGGCGACGACGGCTGTCAGTGACGGCACCGGACGGTCGTGTCGTCTCATGGCAGACAAGTGGCGAGGCTGCCGAAACCTCCCGCAGATGGCTAGAGGTGCTCGCTGACGGCGACGCAGCGCTGCTATCCACACGTGGGGCTCAACTCACACTGACGTTGACGGAATGAGGGGCCTGGCCGGGCGCCACCTATCGCCGGAGCTGATCAGTGCCACAAATGCCACTAAAGTGAGTACGAAGCCGGCGGATGGAGCGATGACACAAACATGGCATTGCGACGCCAGGGTACGAAAGGGCGACACCCGGGCTGATGGTGGAAGGCCCAGCCGGCCTACGCCTGGCTCACAGCGGTGGGGCACGCGCTTGACAGCGGTGGAGCACGCGCTTGACAGCGGTGGGGCACGCGCTTGACAACGGTGGAGCACACGCTTGACAGCGGTGGAGCACACGCTTGACAGCGGTGGAGCACACGCTTGACAACGGTGGAGCACACGCTTGACAGCGGTGGGGCACGCGCTTGACAACGGTGGGGCACGCGCTTGACAACGGTGGAGCTCACGCTTGACAGCGGTGGAGCACACGCTTGACAGCGGTGGGGCACGCGCTTGACAGAGGTGGAACACACGCTTGACAGCGATGGGGTACCCGCATCTTGCCAACCAAGCACAACAAAGTCCCCACAAATCAAATGTTTTACTCAACCTGTAACATAAATTTCACATTGGAAAGGCTCATGCATTTCTAGGTGTCAGCTGATGGTCAGGCATTGAACATTACAAACGTCCACATCATTGGACATTGGGCACAGCAAACGTGCACATTCCTGGGCACATACGAAACACACAACACACTGCAAGTCCAACGTGGCTACATATGGGCATTCTCGCAAAGCTCCCCTTCAGCAATTCCAACGGCAATGACGGACCATGTTACTTGGTCAACGAGCACGCCAGGCCACACGACCCGAGGTGTCGCGACCTTCCATTCGGCTAAGTGTCGAGTGCGCAACAACTACACCCACAGGAGGAAGTAAAGCAACCAGACAGCGAGATCGGCTATTAGGCGACGCAGACAAGCATTGGCGAAACACTCCCAAAAGACACTGAACAAGCCACGCCCGGCCTAGCGACACGCCCGGGAGCAAGCCACGCAGCGCGTCTGCGCCTGGACTTGCGGCATGCGTGGGCCGAGGCGCAATCTGTGGCGCGGCACAGGGACGGCTGCGGGCTGCACGAGCCAAGCGGGGTCGCAGCTGACGAGCGGCCGGCCGAGGGCAGCACGAGCGGGGCCGGACCCGGGCGCGGCCGGCCCCGCATGGCGGACACACACGCACGCCACAAACCTTCACCTGGTGCCCGGGCGCTAGGCCCGCACGGGCTCGTCAGTGTCGCACGGCTTGGGCACGCCACAGTGCACCTAGAATTGGGACGGCAGCGCCGTCACTCAACCTGGTCTGGCTTTGGAACCTGCCCTGGCGGCTGGCACGTCAACTAACGGTTCATCCACTCCGCGGAAGGTGGCTTGAAGCGCAAAACAATTTGCTTCGAGCTTTAGTTAACACGTCTCCGCGAAGCTGGTCCCGAATTATGGTTGTGCAACTTCTTCGTCATACAACCACCACCAACGCAGTCCTTTCTACATAACTATGCAGGCGTACTTATCTCATGCGGCGGGTCCTTTGTACATCACGTGAAAACAAGCCAGTCAGATTTGATATGCATATATATATATGCAAGAAGCATGGAGATGGCAGGCTTCACCTGATCAACATCCATCCATAGTTGCACGCATTCCTCCATCCTTGCACTTACGTGTCATATTTTGACCTGAATGCGTCAAACACAAAGACTACCACCGAGACATCCAGCGTACACCTATCGTTCTCCCACCAACAGAGGGCGCGTGCGCCGTAAGTGTGGCCTCAGCTGCGCACACATCGCGTGTCGACAACGCCGCCGCCGAGCCGCGCGCGGACGCTCACCTTGGGCTTCTCCACGGCCACCAGCCGAAACTCGTAGACGAACGTGAGCAGGTAGAGGGCGAATAGCAGCGCCAGACACCACTCGGAGGAGGTGCTGCAGATGTGGTACTCCCAGCCGTGCAGGGGCAGGCCCCACTCGCTGTCCGGGATCTCTGGAGGACGCGCCAGACGGAGTCGGCAGCGGCACACACGGCCCGCTGTTCGGGATCTGACCCAGCTACACCCTTCCGCACAGATCGTATTCGACTCACGTTCCGCTGGCACGAGGTAGGTGAACGGGACCGGGTGATGCCTCACATACCACGGCGGGTAATTTAGTTCTACCGATGATACTGACACGGACCAGCTCCGCTAGTCTGCTTAGCGAACTGTTAACGGCTTGTAGAACTAGTCAGAGGTGTGTCGTCGCATGCTCTTGCGGACCCCGCCAACCCTAACACCCTGATGTCACAGACCAACGCTTTGCCCGGGTCATATCCGATCTTACTCGATGAGTTATGCTTCCTCGAAGCATTCCTTGCACAATCCGACCCATTACACACTTGGGCCAAACGCTCCCACTGCCGCCCTGACGAGTCACAGATCCCGACCGCGCTCTCCGCTGACTTCAGGAGTAACAAGTCCTGACCCCCCACTGCCCTGGAGTCACAGGTCCTGACCCCGCCTCACTGACCTGACAACCCACAGGCCCTGACCTCCCCCTCCCCCTCCCCCGCTGACCTGAGGCGTTGCAGGCCTTGATCGAGTCCTGCAGCCGTTTGCTGAACTCTGTGGGCGTGGCGGCGGCGCACGCCCAGCCGCTGACGAAGAGGCCGGTGCAGGTGGCGGCGATGAACAGGCGGACGCCGGTCAGCCACGGACGCGTCATGTCCGGCCGCGTCTTGTACGTGATCGGCACCTGGCGGCGGGCAGAGGCTACCCTCAGGGGACGGTCCGCCGGTCGCGGCCGCTCCGGGCGCCGGGCCCGGCCGGCTGGACGGCCAGCTGGGCGCGCCATTTGGTGACCGGGATCCGTGGACCCGAGCATCTGTACACCGACTCGGTGGTCTCCGGCGTGCGCTTGATCACCGGTCAGCTCTGGCGGATGCCAACACGCCGTCACACTTCGGTAACGCGCGGCCCAGCTGGTCTACAGCGAAGCAGACCGAAGCCAGCCGGTCGGCTGTGGGTCACCGCAGCCGTAGCCAACGCGGTGGGGCGTTACCGAAGGTGACGCCCCAGCGCAGGAGACGGGCGTCATAACGGCGCACGCGGCCGTCATCCCACAGTACCTGAATCCAGCAGTAGAAGACGCCAAGGAAGAAGGCGAGCATGGCGCCGAACAGGTGCATGCCCAGCACGTTGGTCTCCTGAAAGTTGCCGACGATGCTGATGCCGAGCGCGCCGCACATGCCGCAGAAGAAGCCGCCCTTGTTGAGCCAGCGCTCCCAGCGGGCGCGCGCGTGGCCCACGCTGTAGTAGTCTTCCACCAGGCTGTACCGGATGTACACGGTCAGGCCAACTGCAACACGGCCGACGTCGGGGTAGCGAGACTCACGCGGTCGAGGCGGCGGCGCTGTCGTCACCACTCGCCGCGGCAGCATGGGGCCGGATCGCACGCGCCCCGCTCGCCACGAAATGTGGAATGTGACGTCTGTTTCGACGCTTGTCAACCGCTGGACAATCAGGCGTGCGAGCTTCAGAAATTGAGCGGCAATAGCTGGGGCAGCAGCAATGATTAACGCTGGGAACACTGATGGAGAAACAAAGACCGGTGATGAATTGCGCGGGTGATAAATTACTGGAGCGTGCCTGCTTCATCACAAACGACGGCTATAATCAGTCCCACGACCGTTGGGGTAGTTGTGGCAGCATGGGAAACATACGTGACAGATGAATCAATAGGACACGTCATGAGGCGGGGGGGGGGGGGGGGGCACAACACAAACGACAGTGGAGGAAGTCAACAGCATGCGAGACAGTGAGGAGTCAACAGCACGTAAGGCAAATTGAACAGTAAACATCCGGCATGGTAAGCAGGTACGTTATCGGCACAGTGCACAGGGTTCAGGGTTCTAAAGGCCGCTGTGCGGCGGCGCAAGTACTGTGGAACGAGCGCAGCAGCCCTGCAAGTGCAGCAGGCCGGGCCCGACAGAGGACAATGGGGAGAGGGCGACGGGTGGTCTTACGGAGCACGGCGGTGATGTTGAGCAGCTGGCCGAAGATGCAGGACTCGGGGGCGCAGGTGCCGCCGTCGCTGATGTACGGGAAGTTGGGCTTCACGTGGTCCAGCTGCACGGCTATGGCGTACCTGTCGCACGGCCGAGGCCGACGCGGCACAGGTCAGAGGTCGGCGGGTTCAGGGTCACGCCAGCTGACCCCAGCCGAAACGAGGTGCGGTGGCGGCAGGACACACTCGGAATACGAGGCGACCGTGCCGGAAATATACACAGTGCAGGGGAAAACGAGAAAACTGATGCTTGGCACGATGGAACAGAACGGAGAACATCGTAGTTCGAAATTAAAGTAAGTAAAATATAATCATGTCGGGACGGGTCAAAGTGGCCAACCATAAAATGCACTTACGTCGTGAAGAACGTAACAACGAATCCGATAAAAACGCAGAGGGGAAGCACGTACAGGTGCCGCCAAAGCCCCATTCTGCAGCTAAAACAGAGAAACAAAACGGGATCATATAAGCAACCGGCAGCGGGCTGAAACATTGGAGGTCACCTTGTGGGCACATTTGTCATTGACGATGGTTTGATTACAGTAGTTCTGGGTGGGCTGGTATCGACCAACCGAACAATAATACCAAGACGTCAGCACATATTAACAACCATGCATATCAAGACTTTCAACGCCTTCAAACGGCCGGCGGTTCACAGTACCTACAGGACCCACAATGCCCACAATACACCCACAATACACCCACAATACACCCACAATACCCCACAATATTTTCACCAGAATTCCCCACAGTATCCACCCTCAACACTCTACAGCGTCCACCCACAATATCCCACAGCATCCACCCTCACCACGGCAACCATAGCACCTATTCTAGTACGGTGCCGGCCCGCCGAAAACGCACGGGCTGCTGCTGCTGCACTGCCGGTGCCGGCGGCCAGAGGCAGACCGGGGCCGTGCGACACCGCCGACGGCGCCGCCTGAAGCCCCACTGGCCCACGCGAGCGAACAACACAACTCAGAGACGGCCAACTGAGCATCGACAGGTGCAGCGGCGCCCCGAACCGTGCGCACACAGCTGGCGGCGTTAAGTCCCGAGTGACGAAGCGTCGGCGATACGAGTCTGGCGGACAGACTGGCGGCAAGCCCGGCCGGTGACCTCCGGGTCACCTGAGGTGACATCACGGGCACAGTTGTGGACGTTTGTTTGCGATAGACAATGTTGCCCTGGGCCTGGCCTGACGCGGCCTCGCGGGCCGGCATGCGCCGCGCCGCGGCGGCCGGACTGGCCCAGCCCGCCAGGCCGGCCGGCCGGACGGTCGGCGATCTCGACCGCTCGTTGGCGGGGGGGGGGGGGGGGGGCGTCACCGACGGGCGCCAGACAGCGCCACACACCGGGGCAAGCCAGCTGTTATCGACCGCCCGCGCAGCCAGACATGCGCGTTATCGACCGCGCACGTGCGCGGGCACGCGGGGTTCGATCACCACACAATGTATTGGCCCGTCTGAGCTGCCGGCTGCGGTTGGCAAGCGGGGGGGGGGGGGGGGGGGGAGGGAAAGTGCGGGTGCTTTGAAACCGCCACGAGCGCAGATACGGACGCGCACTCCCACGCGTAAGATTAAACACTCAAAACGCACACAATCGAGTCACCAAGGTCAAAGGCAAGAAGCAGGAATGGACAGGCAGTTCTGACATTCTAAAAATAAAACCAAGACATCGAGGACAAATGACAAGCGATGAAAAACACGACATTTGGAAAGGATCACACCCCTCGACGTCGCTGTTGAAAGACATGGCTATGCAGGTTTCCCGACTTGCACAATGCCCAATCTCGTACGACACGCCAACAGTACAATGAAGAAATAATGGAAAACAACGCCATTCAGCGCAAAACATATAAGTATAAAATATAAACCTAAAAAACAACACGGCAACGGTAAGGAAGAGCATGTAACAGGATACGCTCGCATGTCCTATGTAACGATCACTTGCATCAATCGTGGAAAACAGAACATAGCCAATCCATGGGAAGGAAAACAGTGCAAAAGAAGTTTCTGGAAAAAAAAATATTGTCGCTTCAGCTTGGAAGGCACCACAAGTAAAATCCTGTCCTGGCAGATCAAACCAAGACAGATAAGAATAAGTGACGCCTTTCTCTTTCCCACGTTCCAGCAATCACTAGTAGACGTTGTTTTGGCATCAGTGGCATTGCTCCGAATGGCTCGCCGCGCAAACCCACCGCCCTTATGGTGCGGCATGGTGTTTTCCGCATATTAAAATACTGCCACGCCCCCTCACCCTCCCGCGTCAGGCCCTTCTTCTCCTTCCCCTCCCCCCCCCCCCCCCCCATATACGGCCGTCCTCGACAAGCCGGCAAGATCCGAGTGCCGTGTCCGGCACACCACCAGCTGAGCCGACCACCGACCTCAGGGTGTCCGGCACACCAGCTGAGCCGACCACCGACCTCAGGGTGTCCGGCACACCAGCTGAGCAGGCCGACCTCAGGGTGTCCGGCACACCACCAGATGAGCCGGCCACCGACCTCAGGGTGTCCGGCACACCACCAGATGAGCCGGCCACCGACCTCAGGGTGTCCGGCACACCAGCTGAGCCGGCCACCGACCTCAGGGTGTCCGGCACACCAGCTGAGCAGGCCGACCTCAGGGTGTCCGGCACACCACCAGCTGAGCAGGCCGACCTCAGGGTGTCCGGCACACCAGCTGAGCCGACCACCGACCTCAGGGTGTCCGGCACACCAGCTGAGCAGGCCGACCTCAGGGTGTCCGGCACACCACCAGCTGAGCAGGCCGACCTCAGGGTGTCCGGCACACCAGCTGAGCCGGCCACCGACCTCAGGGTGTCCGGCACACCAGCTGAGCAGGCCGACCTCAGGGTGTCCGGCACACCAGCTGAGCCGGCCACCGACCTCAGGGTGTCCGGCACACCAGCTGAGCAGGCCGACCTCAGGGTGTCCGGCACACCAGCTGAGCCGGCCACCGACCTCAGGGTGTCCGGCACACCATCGAGTTGCGCAGACAGTCGACCTCACGGAACGGAGGCGAGTCCATCCATTTTTCCCGTATGACAAAAGTGATAATTCCTCGCTTGTTTGACAACGCGTGTAACCCCTCATGCTATCACCGGTGGCATACCCTGGCGGGAACCGGGCCCGCGCCACGGTGCTCCGTATCCTTTAAGAGGAGGTCCACCCATCTTAATGCTAGCTGCATTCGACAGTGTTTCAAAGCTTATCCAGCAGGGTTTCCAGAGATAAAAAACAACTTTGTGTCACCAGAATCTTTGTTCTCCGGTGACCTCTGCACGCAATTCGCTGGCGTTAATCCGTTGTCCTCTGACCCCGAACCAAGACATCTGACCTGCCCGGCTCATTTGTGAAGTCTGAGGTGCTTAGATGCTGGACTGACTGCCGCCCGATTCGACGCTGATTGGCCGATTTTGAACAAGGGAAGGGGCAACAAGTAGTGAACCCCAAGCCTGGGGTGTAATAGCATGACAAAATGCGCGTGGAATATACGCGTGGAATCGCGCACAAGAATACGCGTGGAATCCTTGCTACGCAAGTGGCCGAATATTGGAACACTGCATATCGGGGATAGCCATTTCAGCCTGCGCGGCTGCCGGGCCTGGGGCGGCCGGCACACGGCCGGAGCGGACCGCAGCGAGCCCACCGGCACACGGCCGGAGCGGACCGCAGCGGGCCCACCGGCACACGGCCAGAGCGGGGCAGCCGGGAGGCGCCGCGTGCCGTGCGGCCGTGCGGAAGTGCACACAGACTGCAGACGTCAGCGGCGATAGCGCGCACGGCGCACACTTGACCTTCAGCGATGACCCCCGGGGGGGGGGGGAGGGGAGGTCAGTCGCACAGAGTCGGTCGTCACGCGGTGGCAGTGGCGCGGGGCACGGCCATGGCCGCGCCCGGCACGGCCGCACCGGGCACGCCGGCCGGCCCACGAGATCTGACGTCACGCTTCGGCCGGCCTGTGAGATCTGACGTCATGCCCGAGGCAGGCTCCGCCGCCCTGGGGTGCGGGGTGGGCAGAGAGCAGAGCCGGACAGAATGGCTGCCCCCAGCGAGGCTATGACGACTCGCCCTCATACCAACTCGGTCGTCGTCGTCAATATGGGCTGTATGCTGCCCTCAGTTGGTGAGGCTTTATGGTGGCATTTGCCTCACAGCCTAGCAGGAAGGGTGGACACTGCAGGAATCAAACCCTTACCCCAGGTTTTCCAGATGTGCAGCTTAACATGACACTTTTTGCACCAGTAGGAGGCCCAAGGATGTAATGTATGAAATGCCACTTACAAGGTGTCATGTACAATCTCAGTGGAGTGCTTGGTTAATGCACATGCCAGTGTAGTTTGGGGGTCCCTGGGCAAAGCCTGACGTTGGCAGACTTTCTTTGACCAGCCCTTGCCCAGGAGATAGCAGCAGCTGGGAAGTGGTCATCATCCTGCCCTGAGAATGTCAAGCAGTGCCTGCAGTGAAGTCTCGTCTGCTTGAAATAGCCCCTTCATTCAGGTGATATTTCACAAGGAAAGGTTAAGGACATGTTCGGGTAATGCACCTGCTGTGCCCACACTTAGGTCTGAGAGTGCCCATTGGGCACTCAAAGTGTTTTTTTGATACTGCCCTCATGCACAGTGATCTTATCAAAATGAATAAGAAATACACAAGTTAGGCAGGCACTGACATACTTTTAACATGACACATTTTAGGAAAACAAGATGAAGGTTATCATGCACCATTACATGAAGTCCCAGGCACTAGGGAGGTCATATTAACACCCATGTATTGAGAGGGACACTGCAACTGCAGAACAATTCATGCAACTATGCACACAGTAAATGCTCACGTCATCCACCCACACATCCACAGGATGCCACGTACTGTCAATATCATCACTGACCAGGTGCTTCATCCTGGCCAGAAGAGGCATGCATTTTGCCTGATACATCTCCAGTGTGAGCTACCACCCATCATGGGCATGAACACTCCTGCTGAGTAACCTTGGAAGAACATGGAACACAAGCCCTCTCAACAGAATAAACTGTGCAGCATGCTGTCACATTTTGTTTGAGTTTGGCCTGGACAAACAGCCTGGAATAATGTTTTAAATTACAGTGGCAAATGGATTTCAAGCAGTGAATGAAAAAATAATTGAAATACAATACAAATGATTTCAATTGTTTTCCTTATCAAGCACAAGGTAAGACATCCAACATCAGCATTACTTTTCTTATTATGATAACAGTAATTATCATTATTCATGCTGCTGCTGTCAGGGTTGTGTCACAGTGCACTAAAGTTCAAGAAAATATCTTACTACATGTTTTGTAGCAATGCAGAGGGACGTTGCTTGAGAAGTTTACACCACAACATTAACTTTCAGTACCTGAGGTGGCTCTCTACTGCTAGATAAGGTGCAAAAAATGTTATCAACATTCATACAAAACAGCTGTTATTAGTTGAATATTCCTACTCTTATCAGGTATGGACGCAAATGATAGCGAAATTACAGCAAAATAGTCGTAACCGCATGGTTAAGTCTTCACAACCCTGTAAGTTTATAGATGACAGGCTGTAAGGCCTGTAGACTAAACCTAAGCAAGTGAATGCGGGCAAAGCCAATGTAAAACGTACCTGGCTTGGCCAGAAGACTGGGAAGAGTCTTGCGCCATACACGTCACCATTGTAAAAAATGTCCAAACTGGGCTTCAAGAATATAACTTAAGGGCTTACATGGCTTGGCTGTTTGATTCGCCCCAACTGCGGGGCAAAAGTTACTCTCCTTGCTACTTTCGCCAGCACAAGTGAAAGCTCCATCCACAGACGCCCACCGCCCACTCCCGCCGCTTTATGACAAACTCAAGGCCGAATCCTAAGCCAGCTGATTCAGCCGATTGATGCTGTTAAAATCGTGCTCTTCTTCTGTACGCTCGCCCCAAAGTGGCTAACGGCCACGACAGACGGGGCTGCGCGCGTTAGATACACGCGCATGTCTACGGGAGCTGGCCCAGGCCTGGAAAGATGAATCCGACAAAGAAGTACATAATTGAATTATCCCAATAAAAGGCATCGTGACTTATTTTTGTGTGTATGTGCTATGCGTAATCTTGTGTTAAATGCCCTATTTTTAAGACTCAATTCGGACCTTTTGAATAAATGGATTTCTGAGACCAGAGCTTACGCTAAGCAGTGCTTGCTTCGTGAGCCCTGACCTCTACCATCCAATCGCGCTACTCAAGGTCAACGAAAAAATTGCGTGGCGAAAGGTTCCCACGCTGCAATGTTCAGCACGGTCAGCCCTGTCCCCTCACGTCACCTGACCTTTAGCGCGGCTGCTGCCACCTGCCACAGGCATGCCTGTCAAGACCACACCGCGAGCGCTTGAGGCGACTTGACCTCACCCTTCCACGAGTGGGTGGGCCGGAAGGCAGGCACTCTAACCAACTGAGCCATAGGGACGAACTTCGGCGCAAAGTGCCGGGGTTTGACTCATGGAAGATTAACAACGCAATGGTTCCCGACTGTAAGGGCTGTTCGACATTCCGCTGGGTGAGGCATGTCTCGAAGACTGCCGAAATGCAGCGACAGACCCCGGCTCCGGCCCCACCGTGTGGCGCGAGAGTTCACGACCACTCACCGCCCGACGATGGTGTTGGTGTTCACGGCTCGGACAGGGGCACCTGGTGCCTCAGGTCCTGCTCCCGAGCCAGCCACCCGCGCCAAAAGCCGGCTCTCGAATGTCGAGCGGAGCTGGCACTGCTCCGCGCCGGTATCGGCCGCCCCGCCCACGCCCCGCCCCGCTCGGCCCGTGGGTCCGGTGGGCCGCCACGCCGCATATCCGGCATGATTCGTCAGAACCGCAAGTCGACCTTCCGCCGCTTCCCCTCCAGAGGCGTCACCTTCATCATAGCATTCGTTTATTCGGTGTTCACAAAAGGCACAAGGCGCTGGCATCACGCCCCATTTGTACAGTATATACACCGGTAATGGTATATGTATAAATGAATATACGTTATCTGGATACAAACACGCACCATGTAGCGGCGTCCCATTGTAAAACACCGCGGCCGCAGCTGCTGCGAACGCCCAGCGCCCAATACTGAGTGGAATGCGACGGCCCACCGCAGAACGCAGCCTGACCAAGTCCGGTCAGGCCAGGTCAGGTCAGGTCGCGACCCCCGGCTTCGGCGGCGGTCGTTATCAGACTGGAATGGATAGCGCCTCGTGCGCGAGGCGCCGGCCGCTAGCAACGCGGCACACGCAACATAAAATACGCTCGCGGCGCTTAACAAGCAACAAATCGGATCACAACAGCGGCGCCACTCCCGCTAACGTCACGCTCGCGCCCGTGACGTCACGGGCCGGTCGCAGTGATGTCGCGCAGCGGGCGGCTCACGGCAGGTACTCGACGTAGTTTTCGGGCACGAGCCCTGGATGGCCATTCAGTGTGCCCTCCAGCCAGCCAGGCTCCCGCGATGGCCGAACTGGGGGCACAGCCGGGGTCAGCTGTCACGTGGCAGAGGTCACGTCAAGGATGCTGCGTCTGCAGTTACAGCGCAGTCGACACGCGACGAACGAAACTGAACGTCGTTTCTAGACGATAGGAACGGGCCAGTGTTGGGTCACTAAAGAGCGAAACGAACTTCTCGCCAATCCGGGTCTCTTCGGCCTGCATTCAACGCGATAGCGAGGCTTGTCTTCAAGCCAACGTGCAGCACGCAGCACATCGCGCTTCAGCTGACAAACGATTTGCGTAGAGTTCCGCATCCCACCGCAACGCACAGTGAAGCCGAAACGGCACGCAGAAGGCAGCACAAGCCCATCGCCGGCCACAACACGTCGCGCAGGCGACGACGCGGGACCGGTGGGCCAGTTCACTCGCCGTTGTGGAACGGCCGATCGGCGCCAGCCGGGAGCCAGCGCGCGCGGCCCTCCGCCCCGTCCGGCGCTCACCGTTTGTGATGATCTGGTTGGGCTCGAAGGACAGCTCCGATTCGTTCTCGCCGACGCAGGCGTACAGCGTTCGAACCCGCCTGAAACGGTGATTGAGTGAGCGCGGCTGGTTGTCCGGCGTCCGGAGGCTGACAGAGACGGAGTGCGCGCGGGCGGACGGGAGCGGTCAGGCACGGCAGACCGAAACAGAACATAAACCATGCGGTGAGCGAGCTGGCAGCAGGGAACGTGACATATTGGCGAGTGTAATTAACTGGAGGGAGCACACAAAGTTCGTGAAGGTGCACGATGCATAACACAAAGACGAAGATCAGTTTGTCAACGCGCTGAGCTCCTCCCCGACCTCCCGTAACCCCTCGCTGAGTCCTGCTCGAGGTCTGACAGATCTGACACGCGTCAGCGGTGGTATTGGCACCCGCACATAGCTGTGTCCAATTTCTGACTTATCGCGCCTCGACGCTACAATCGCCGACAGAACTGGCGCGGTTCCCAACTGAAACTAACTGGGTCCAAAAGTGCTGTCAGTCCGTCAGTTCGCTGATCGTGACGTCGCCCTGTCATGGCGCACCCTTGGCGGATGCGCTTGCGAATCGCTGGCATGGGACGACTTGGACCGTAACCCCGTCTCCACTCAGCCTAAACGACCGACGACGTTAAGGTCAAGGCCACGTCACCGAAGGATACGAAAAGCGCCCGCGAACCTCCACTCCATTCTTCGGTGAGTTCAGCCATCGGAGTAGGGGGTCGTGTGTCAGTTCGCAACTTCCGGATCTCGAACCGGGCTGACGACTCTTCCTTAGAAGCGCGCTATCTGCTTCCTGACACACACGGCGCGTGTTATCGCCACCCGTTAGCGGTTATGACCGGCGTTGTTTGCGTCGCAGGCCGCTGGCAGCCGGCGGGCCGCCAGCCGCCAGCGGCCTGCAAGCGGCGCGCGCCGGTGCACGCCCGGACGGTGACGTCACGCGGCCGGAGACCGAGCAGCCCGGCGACGCGCGTCTGTCGCTGTATCAACACGATGACGAGCCAGTGATATCGCAACTGGTGGCGTTCGCTGGTTAACGATACCAATGCCCGTCACCCGGGGCCGTCTGCTGGCTTTGTTGTGCGAGACCTGGTTTGCTGCCGGGTGATGCGATAGGCTGGGTGGGTGGTGCTCTGCGGTACGGCACCGCCTCCGTGGTGAACAGTGAAAGGGTACGAGCTGGGCTTGACACCGAGACCCAAAAGCGCGGGCGTCAGTTTTCGAACCGTTTTCATGTCCACGCCGCAACGGCCTGACTAATCCGGCAGGGGTTTGACGAGGCGGCACTCCTGCCGTCGGACACGGAATCGCGATCAGTGACACAACGTGATCACAATCGTGATCACAATGTCCGAAGTTGGCCCACCAGACGTAAGCTGCGATTCTCCTTTCACTGGCAGGAAACAACGCGGCGCACATGATCCGTGGGTGTTGGAATGTCACTGCAACTTGCAGACTTCGCGGCGGATAGAGCGGTCAATGCCAGTATGGATCATCACACAACGCATCATACAAACTGAATACTCTTGAAGTGATGACCAGCATTTTCCAAACCCTGCCAATGTTCGACATGTCGCTGATACCTACATCACGCGGCCATCGCGTCTCGTGTCGATGCCGCACAGGTTTGCCGTGAGAACGCCTCGCACCCTGCTCGCGCTTCGGCGCATCAAATCAAAACGTGCTCTCACACAACCCTGCTTCGTTGGCCATCTTCACAAAAGGCTCAACCCAGTTTTTGTGCAAGCCGGCTGGAGGTGCTTCACGCCTCGCTCTAAAGCTACCGATTAAGGCGAAAAAATGCCCAGAACCAAACGTCAAAGGAGGACGCACAAGGGTTGACGCAGACGGGCAATACCCCCGGGGCATCAGAGGACGTACCAGTCCCCACTAGAAACACAAGCCGTCCTGTTTTCCAGCGGCGCTAACCAGAACACTCGGCCGTCCAAGTCAAGTCAGGTCCGTCCGGGTGCGAGCCCAGGGATAAGTCACGTATCGCCAGGAGGGTCAGGTCCGTCCGGGTACGAGCCCAGGGATAAGTCACGTACCGCCAGGTCAGGCCAGGTCCGTCCGGATACGGGCCCAGAGATAAGTCACGTATCGCCAGGTCAGGTCAGGTCCGTCCGGATACGGGCCCAGAGATAAGTCACGTATCGCCAGGTCAGGTCAGGTCCGTCCGGATACGGGACCAGAGATAAGTCCCGTGTCGCCAGGGTGTCAGGTCAGGTACGAAGGCCAGTCAGCGGCACCTGCTGCTCGTCACCAAACTACAATTAAAAGCCGTCGGACCGGTGCTCTATCAATACAGACACGAAGAGTTGAGCCCCTTTGGGCTGAGCCGAGCCGGGCCGTCCGCCTGGCACTGGGAGTGGGCATCTCCTAAGAGCCTGGCGCAACCACGCCCAGACTTGCGCTGGCTTCAGCGCCGTTAACTACAGATTGACGGGGCTCAGGATCCACACGTGATTTTGAGAGTTTGAGACACACTCATACCAAAACTCGTCATAGGTCTACTGGTTTGCTATCATTCAGAGCTCGGTCCCTAAGCAAATATGACAAGTGATACACGTCATTGGGTCTGCAATGGGACCCATAGCAGTGCTCCACAAATGGAGGGCTGGTACTCCATTTTCTCCCCTGCGACATGACAGCAGATAGGACGCACATGATGGGACAACCAAAGGTCATGTCCCACAGGGCCTTCGCGGCGCGCTTAAGGCAGCCACACACTCAACGGCCATCGTTAACACTGACGTTATCGGTGTTATCAGAACACAAACACACTTAGCAGCAATCCACGCAGACGCCGAATGCCGATGCTTGGTAACATCACAGTTCTCATACTGTGTTTGCCAGCGTCATGCTCAAGGAACTCCCATGCGAGACCCAAAAAGCATGCGGCGGTTCGCCCGAGACGAAAAAGGCCTCTCATTTTGAACGGCAGAGCATTCCATACACCGCCCGAGAAATCTAGCATTTTGAACGAACGCTTTGACGAGCTCTGGAACCAAGACCGGTTCGAGCTAAATCATGGGGTCGATTTTACCCAGATAAGTCCACATTACTGAAAATTCAACCAATGAGAGTCCTCTAAACAAAAAAATTACAGGCCTCTCCAAGGTTTGAGATAAGATGTGGACGGTGCCGCCATCTAGCGATTACCTGGGTAACGACTGTCCGGACGGAGCGCCGGCAGGCGGCGCAGTGCACGACGCAGAGGCGGACCTGGACACAATGACATCATCTATCACCTGTACCGGGCTCCCACATGCAAACACTCGCTCCAAGGCGATGTGCGGGCGCATGTTGTGAAAGAGCGGTCCTCACGTTGAGAGCGTTAATTGACAGATGAGGAAGAGCTAACCGGTACAAGTTGGCATCAAGCTCAAGAATGGCACGGCTATTCGGTTTAAGGAAATGATGCATTCCATTTGTGACCAGCTGCCTGCAATTTGCTACCAATGAAAGCACACGTTTGTAACTGAAATCACTGTCACTCTACTCTGGACTAATTCAGTTACGTCAACTTCATGACCGGCAACGGAAAAAGCAGCGCGCAAGCGACATCAGCATTGGCAACATCGAAAGCTGTTCGGTCAAACCACCTAGCATCCAACGGAGAGTATCTACCAAGTCAATTTGCTTCCGTAGAAACTTCAACTACATGCGCCTATCTAGCAAAAAGCTTCATGACGCACTTGTTTTCAGTGATCAAGCCATTCCATGCCTGCACGCGGCTGAAAGCATGAAAGTAAATATCACTAACAGCAGATCAGTGCGAGAGAAGACGCCCGTAATAAATCGTGACGCATGCCCCAGCCGTGTTCTGCAGAAGAGCATATGCCCCAGCCGTATACCGAAGAAGAGCATAATCCAGCTGCCGAGCGTGTCCGCGCAGCACGACCTACTCGGGAGCCGGCCGCGCGTGACGCGTGCCGTGACGTCACAGCCCGGGTGTCGGATGTCTTACTGAGCGCCCGGCAACGTGCGCCAGCATGCAGCGACCGAGCGGCGCCGGCGGAAGCAGCGTCACAAGCGCCTCCCACCCAAGCCGACCACTACAGTAGAGGCTGGAGGCGGAGGAGAGGCCGGAGGCGGAAGGGAGTGGGGCTGGGGCGAAGGGGAGGCTGCAGGCGGGGGGGGGGGGGGGGGGGGGGGGGGGGGTTGGAGGCAAAGGGGAGGCTTGACGCGGAGAGGGGAAGTTGGAAGAGGAGAGGAGGGTGGAGGAGGAGGGGAGGTTGGAGGTGGAAGGGAGGATGGAGGCGGAAGGGAGGGGAGGCTGGAGGCGGGGGGGAGGGGGGGGGGGGGTTGGGGGCGGAGGGGAGGCTGGGGGCGGAGGGGAGGCTGGAGGCGGAGGGGAGGCTGCAGGCGGAGGGAAGGCCGGAGGCGGACGGGGAGGAGAGAGGGCTGGGGGCGGAGGGGAGGCTGGGGCGGAGGGGAGGCTCGATGCGACAGCGGAGCGGCACCGTCCCCTTCAAGCCCCGCTGAGTGAGCGCGAGCGACGCGCGCGCCTCTGGCGGCCGACGGCCGTACTCACAGGTCCGGCTGCGAGCGATAACTGGGCGGGTACAGGATCCCCAGCTTGCCGCCTGTGGAACCCCACGACAAACGGTCACGCCGGAGCAACGCAGGCGATCCGCGGCGGCAACACGCACACGACACTGACCGTCCGGCGCGCACGGCTCGGCGCGCCGGCGACAAAACCAGCGCAGCGGTCCCCACAGATCACACGATGGCGGGCAGGCGAGGCGAAGCGGGACCGATGAAACGGCAGACACCAGCGACAGCCGCGGGACACTGACAAACGCAGGACGCTCACCGCACGCGGCAGCCTTTGCCACAACCATCGCGCCGCGGGCAGGTGCCACGTGCCGAAACTCCTCTACCACGAGCGGGTCCTGTGCAGCCCAGCAACACGTCAACGGCCCACGAATGTCACCTTGTTGGCGCCGGCACCCAGCCGCGACAGTGGCGCCACCGGCCCGCCCGGGAGGTGGGGTGCCCGCTGGCGAGCTGGGTGCGAGCAGGACGCCGGACTACTCACGCGTGTACGGTGACGAGCTGGACGAGTTCGTCGTCTGGTGGAGGTCCCGAGAGGACCGCGAGGACAGCGACTCGTTGCTACTGCTCATGCTGTTGTTGGTCAGGCTGCCACCCTCCAAGCGTTCGCGCTCGTTGAGGACTGCAGGAGCGGACGCGGGCACTTCGACAAGCACGCACGGAAGCGAGCCAAAGCCAAGCCTCGCCTGACAGTCGGACCAGAGCCACAGCCGCCGACGACACGACAGTGACTGACACCGACCACGACTGCGTCGCAAAACAGTAAGCTCAACAACTGGCATCAAGGCATGAAGCTCGAAAACGACGGCGACAACCGGCAGCAAACGACTCCCTCGACGACTGGCAGACCACACGATGACAACACCATCCCAGGACAACGCCAACCAGCGCCTACGAGCCCGAGCGGCTCACGTCAGCCCTCGGCAGCCTCGCGGAGACGCGCATACAGCGCTCCCGCAGACACCACGGCACCGCCGCATCAGACTGCCGCCGACGCGCGCCGCCACAGCCCGGACACGGACAGACAGACGCGCGCGCGGTGCTCCGCGCCAGCCCTCACCGGACGGGTTGAAGATGTGCAGCGGCTTCTGCCGCAGTGGCGGCTCGGAGGCGGCCGCGGCGGCCGCCGCCAGCGGCGCCACGGCGGCGCCCCCCGGCGGCGACGGGTGCTGGCCGCCGGCCGGCACGTACACGGGCGGCGGTGGGTGCGCGTACGGCGGCGGGTAGTGGCGGCGCGCCACGCCGGCCGGCAGCCGCGCGGACCGCGCCGGCTGCTCCGCCTCGTACGCCGTCACCTGGACCGGCTGCGGAGCGGGCGGGCTGGCGTCAGCGGAGGCGGCCAGGGGGCGCGGCCGAGCGGCGCCGCCAGCCGGGCATCGCGCGGCACGGAGGCGCACGCTGATCGGCGGCGCACCGCGCGCCGGGCCACATCCGCTCCCGGGTCACGTACTGGCGGGCTGATGTCAACCATGTCTGTACCCCTGTTTCGGGTCTCATCCTTGCCTATACACCACGTCCTACCACATCCTTTCTCAGTCGCCCGAATCGCCTTCTGCCAACCGTTCCTCCCTCAACCGCCCGGATCGCCCCTACCAACCGTTCCTCCCTCAACCGCCCGGACCGCCCCCTGCCAACCGTTCCTCCCTCAACCGCCCGGACCGCCCATGCCAACCGTTGCTCCCCTTCGGTCGCCCGGTCGGCCCGCTCACCTGCGCCATGGCCGATATGATGCCGGGCTTGGCCGGCGGCGGGCCGGCAGACACGGGGCCGTTGCTGTAGTGCAGCTGTCCGTTGGACTCGCCCGTGCTGGCCACCGGTCCGCCCGAAAATATCTGTCGCAGGGACGACAGACGCGCTCAACACACCGCCCGGGCAGGGCACGCTCCGGAACGTGGCCGCTCGCCCGCCGCCATGGCGACCGGCCCGGGCCTGCGACGTCACATGACATACAAACAGACCCCGGCAGGCACTACACACCGACAAAGAAGCGTCGCCATCCCATCAGCGAGCGCGCTTGCGAAGACGGATCCAGTATCAATGACGCGTATGTTCTGCGCCCGGCGCGACAGCAGCGCCGACGACGAGGCTACTCAGCAGGATCACTGCGCCACGACCGGCTCTCCCACACGGGACCCGGCTCCCAAACAAGCCCCGTGGCCCGTCTCCGGCGATAACGAAGTGTCCGGCGCTAACGACATCCCGGTCCGACCCTCTGTCACTTTCCAGGACGCCGCCTCGGCGCGAGACGGCCCGGCACTGGGCGGGCGCTCGGCGGCGGCGGCAGCCCGGGCCGGCTCAGTCACGCACCGTGTCGAAGTGCCCGATGAGGATCTCGACAACGGCGTTGCAGAACTTGATGTCGATGATGGCAGCCATGGTCTCCTCCTCGGGCCGGAGCAGGGTCGGCCCGAAGCAGACACCCAGGTTGCTGACCGACATCAGGTTCTTATCGCTCTTCCGACTCACGCTGGCGGCACGGCGCGGTACGCCAGGTCAGGTCACGTGGAGGCGCGCTACATCGAGTTTAATTAGGCCACGCCAGGTCGGATTGGGTCGGGTTAAATATGCGTCAGCCAGTCATATCACATCGTCATAGGTCACACCAGGCCACGCAGGCCAACTTGTGTCAATGTGGGACGGTCTACCATGGTCAGATCGGGTCAGCCGAACTGGTTACCATCACATCAAACCGGACCAGGTCAGGTCAGGTCAGGTCCGACCGCGTTAAATCAGGGACGAGTCGTTCCAACCCCAGTCGGCCCGCCCACATTCTTACAAACAAGTCGCCTTCAACAAATCACAGGCACACAAAACACGCGGTGACACACAGCATGTGCCTTATCACGGAGTCGGACGTTTGTCATCGCCAATCAGCGGCCTCACCGACGCACATTCAGCCCACACCACCGGCCCGTGACTATGGAACGCTCCCACTAACAAGACCGCACGTGGACATGCGCAGCCTCCATCGCGCGATGCCGTACTGACTTTTGCGCATGCTGCATCAGTATCTTCAGCATGCGGTAGTTGACCTTGGGCAGCTTGCGCACCAGCTTGTGTATCTCAGCCACGCGCACCTCCTTGTTGTCCGTTTCTGTAAAGCGGTACGGGGTGTGGCCAAATGCATATGTTTTCACATACGTACAGCGCGCCGCTAACATTAAGTCTTTCTAAAAGCCCCAGACGTCTCGCTGCGTTGTATGCCGTCGCGCACGAGCCTGGTGTGGATGACGCACAGCCGTGGAGCGTGAGCGCTCCGTCCCGCGGCGGTGGCGGCGGCGGCGGCGGGAGATCGTCCGGCGACACGGACCCGTCGGACTGCGGCGTCGTGACTTCCCTGCCGTCTGCACAGTGCAGACGGCTTAGCCACCACCCATCCGTGACCAGCTAACTCACTGAGACCCTTCCGAAGCCCCGACAAGGCCCCCTCCCGACCACAGAAAGCCAAGTTCGGCTCAGGCTTCTCCACCGTCCCCGGTCCACCGTCCGCCCCCTCCCCTCCCTCCCCATCTGGCCCCGTGCCGGACTCGGCGCCGTCGCTCACTGGCGGCGTTGATGAACTCGTGGTGCAGGCGGAACGTCATGAGCGGCTCCGGCAGGCTGCGGAGGAAGGTCTTGATGGCGCTCGTCAGCGTCTTGGTCTCCCACTCGACGACGTTGTCCAGCGGCAGCTTGTCCAGCTTGTGCCGGCTCAGGCCCAGCTGCACCAGCTTGGTGACCTGCCGCGCAGACAGCCGTCAGACGGCGGCTGGAGGACGCGGACAGCACAGTGCCGGACCGGGCACGGCCGGTCTGGCGCCGGCACGACACCAGTGCCGCGACGAACAGGTGGTGGGAGTCGCGCTCGCTCCCGCCTGGCCACCGTGACCGGGTTTCGCCGGGCCCACGGTGAGCTCAGGGGCAGCAGCTCGCTCCCGCCTGGCCACCGTGACCGGGTTTCGCCGGGCCCACGGTGAGCTCAAGGACAGCCGCTGTCATTGGCGTGCACTGGATCGCCGAGCCTCCGCTACAAACGCAAAACTCAACCAGAGCAAAGGAGAACGAAGCGAGTCTGGACTTCCCGCGAATCAACGCGGCGCGTTCCTCCTGTGCCCGCCCAGAGTTGTGCTGACCTTGGAGTTGACTCCGACCACTCGGTACAGCCCCTGCTCCTCGAGGCCGCGGCCCTCGAGCTGGGCGATGCAGGTGGTGATGAAGTGGAAGCCGCTGTCCTCCAGCGCCGTCTCCTCCGTCCGCTGGTCGATGCCGTAATTGGAGTAGGTCTGCAACACATCCCAGGCCAGGTCTCAGAGGTGGCGAAGCACTCTGCGCAGGTCGCGCAGTAGGCGAGACGCCGCGGGCACCGGGCGTCCATAAAGGTTACGTGAGAAAACAAACAAATAGCGCGGGAGCATTCGAGGAAGCGTACGAAGACGCCGCAGCTGTCTGCTAATGCCGCCATGGGCTCACAGCGCTGGCCAGGTCGGCAGAGACCAACGAGCAGCCGCACTGTCCAGCACCGCCACACTCTGACAGCGGGCCGTCGGTACGCCGCGCCGCGCCGCCTCCGGCCAGCGGTGCCGGCGCGCCCGCCTGTCCTCTGCGCGCGCGCGCGCTCACCGGCTCCTTGCCGTCCATGGCGTCCATCCAGAGCCGACGGTCGTCCTCGGACATGGCCTGGAGCGTGTACACCTGGCCGTCGCGCTCCTCGGCCGTCACGTCGAAGCAGAAGCGGCGGTCGATAGTCTCCGACATGCGCCGCACGCACGACTTGAGCACCATCTGGTCGGTCGAGCTCTGCGACAGGGGCCGCACGGACGGCGTCAGACGGCGGCAGCAGCGACTCAACACCGGCACCGGTCAGTCGATCTACATGAAACGGCGGCGTCTCAGGCTTTTTTATATGACAGCGCCTATGACACGCCGGCCCGTCAGTCAAGCCGCACTTTGGAACATGAACGACACGGACCGCACTGACCAGGAACAACATGGAAAAACCCATCGGTCCACCGGGCTTCAAAATAGAGTCGGCGCCCATAGAGACACGGCTACAGCACGGATAGCGTGCAGGAATAACATGGACTTCAGACCGATTCAGTGCGTCCAGCCCTTTACCGGGAGCTGCGGCCAAGTGTGGCCCGCCAACCTCCGCAGCAGTGTCACATGCAGCGTCACCGTGAGCCAAGACCCGCCGCAAAGGCACGGACGGTGCGGCGGCAGGCAGCCGTGCTCTACACACAATGGCGAGCTTCGTCAGGAAACCCTTTACGGGCAGGCTGCGCGGCCTTGGGCGCCACACTGAACTGTGCGCTGGAATTCGTTCGCTTCGCCGAGCGGCGAAAGTTCAATTTGCGGGACAGTGTCGGGGTCGAACACAGATTGGCGAAAATTCCTAAAGGCCTTGTCGTGATTCCCCACGGTGGGCGGCGCCATGAACGTCGCGGAACATGCACACGAGGGTGTCTGCGGAGGGCGCCAATTATCCGGACGCTGATTTTGTCGCCACTAACGTCAAGCTGGAGTAAACCAGTTCCACTGTTTTTATTACTTAATCCCATTACGAAATGGCATATCGCTGCACTTGTTAGGTAAAAGTGATATAGTCGGCTCGCCAAGGTCCCAATGGCTTCTCCGTGATGATGTGAATGTGTGTGTATGAGGACCAAGTGCGCCCAATCGAGGCACGATTGGGGCTTTACGACGCACTCAGCTGCAGACGCTAAATGCGTCGCCGCCTCTCACCCTGGCAGGGGGGGGGGGGGGGGCGGGCACCGCGGGGAACTGAACCCGGTACCACTGGTTCCCTAGACAATCTGATAACTTCACTCTCCTAAACAGCCTGGTACCTCTGGTTTCCTAGACAACCTGGTACCTCTGGTTTCTTACACAACATGGTACCTCTGGCTACCTAGAGGCGCACCTTAACCAAGTGCGCTCAATGGGGACAGACAACGAAACGATTTCGGAAAAGCAATTTCTCCGGTAAACCAGAAGAAACGAACATCGAAATTGCGCATAACAGAATATAATAATAGTGTCTAGCTTTCCGCGCAGCACGGTACATTTCTGGACAACGGAGACCTACAGCACTAGCCGGATGACCTAAAGCACGAGCCGGGTGACCTACAGCACGGGCCGGGTGCCGTCCTGGCCGGCAGTCCGAGTGACGTCACCGCACGCCGCGGCCGTCACGTGACACGAGCCCGTGAAGGAGGTCGCGGCGTCACGCGTCCCGCGCGGCCCCGTGACAAACGGTGGCTCACCAACAGCGACGGCGACACGGCCGAAGAGAAAACAATCACGCAGGCGCAGCACCACAACAAACGCCGCAAAAACCGACCGTCTAATTAACCCGCATGTCCCGGCGTCGCCCGCGGCAGCGCGGCGGCGCGGTGGCGGCGAAAACGGCCTGAGGTGGCGGGCAGCCTTGGCCGACGGGGGGGGGGGGGGGGGCGCGGCCCGGGCCGCAAACTCACCAGCTTGCCCGTCAGCTGGTTGTAGGGGATCAGCGACAGGTTCTTGGTCTTCTTGTCGTACATGCAGTAGTGTTTGGTCCACGTGGTGCCGAACGCCTCTGAAGCGGAGAGACGGGGAGGTGAGCGCGTGCCGACGCAGACAGCGGGGCTCCGTACGGCGACGCGAGGCAACACGCCAGATCAGCGCGGCACACGCCGGGGGCTCGCCTGGTATCACTGCTCGCCTGGCATCACGCGAGCACAAGACACAGAATAGCATTTTGAAATGGGTCACATATAGACGCGGTTCGTCCATGTATCCGCATGACAATTAGGACAGCCTATTGCTGAGAGTGCCTCGAGCCCACATCATCTTTATCATCAGAACCATATCCTAGCTGGACAGGCTCGCCACCCGTCTCGAACCGAGCGGCGCGTACAGCCAAACGTTCCTGCCCCCCCCCCCCCCCCCCGCTACCGCCGTCACCAGGCCGCCGCTACTCACTCTTCTCCATCAGGTACAGATAGCCTTGTCTCGTGCCGGCGTCCTGCGACTTCTGCAGCGCGGAACACGGACCGGGTAAATCACAGGTCGACACCACACAACTACCGATATCCGGCCGCGCACGCACCGCCACCGAACAACACAGCGGGGGCCCGCGCCTCGAGCACGGGTGATTTGTTCGTCTGCTGGAGCGCGGCGACGACTCGGGCCGACTCGGGCCCGCACAATACACGCCGCCGCTGTGATAATGTCACGGCCATTGCCGCTACCACCATGAGCGAAACTCGCGGCTGGAGGCCGTCTCAGAGCTGACCGGGAAAACGAGCGGGGTCGTTATCAAGCCAAAGGAGCAGACGGGAAATAGGCGTCGAGCGCTGCCGAATACGGACGGCCGGACGGCACCGGTACGGTCAGCTGCAAAACAGACATTCCCGGCTGTGTCCAGTTTTTGCGGGTAACTGAGCCTGTGTTTTTCTGCTCCGTCAGCGAGTGGCAGCGGCGCTGGCAGACTGCCAGCCGATCAGTCACAGTTCTGCAGGGCCCGAGTAGGCGCAGCGACCGACCCGGGCCAGAACGGGCGCGGCGACCGTCCCGGGCCCGAACGGGCGAGGCGGCCGACCCGGGGCCGCGAGCGCGGCGGCCGACCCGGGCCACGGGCGCAGCGGCCCCGGCCGGTGCCTGATCCCGGGCAAGCCGTACCGTTTGCCGCACGTCCACCATCATCTTGTTCTTCAGCGCCTCCACCTCGCTGCGAGTGGCCTCGAACTCCTCACGAGTCTGCCGGTCAGAGGGCGCGGCGTCAGCGGGCCGCCAGAGGGTCAGAGGCGGGGGGGGGGGGATGGGGGGGCAGGGGGCGGAGCGGGGGGGGGGGCGGCAGACCAGCGGGAGGGCGGACATAAATAGTAGTAGACACACGTAGTAAACAGCACAGAGCAGTTCGACAGCGCTGAGTGGGATGAGAGCGGGAGCGGTAACGGCGATGGCGGACCTCCGGCGCGTACAGCACGCAGGACCTGCACAGAGCGCCGGCGCCAGCGGAGCGCGGCCGACGAGCCGGCGCCGCGGCGCGCCGTGATCACCTGGGCGAGCCGGCCCCTCCCCCGCCATCAGCGGGGCGGCGGGCCGCGCGCCGGGCCCGCCAGCGTGCGCCAGCCGAGCATCCCGGTCCCGGTCCCGGCCCCGTCCCCACCGCCCACGCCCGCAGCGGCGACAGCCACCTACCTTCTGCAATCGCATCTGTAGGTCGGTCATCTGGCCCTTGTAGTCGTTGGCCACCTCGTGTCCCTGGTGGTAGAACGTGAGCCAGCCGTACATGCACCCGAGCAGCTGCAACGGAGGCGGCGGCGCCGTTAGGTTGGCGGCCGGCCTGCCGGCTAGCACGCGCGCCACCGGGTCAAGCGGGGCCGCGCCGACAAGCTGTGACGAGGAGAGGCTGACAGCGACGGCCAGCACCAGGAAGTGATGGGCGACGACGGCCGGTGACGGGCAGACACGATCAGTGATGGGTCAACACCAGCGGTGACAAGTGACGGCAGGTCAAAACACGCGGTGACGCGAGGTGACAGGTAGTGGCCGAGCATGGACAGTAAGTGACAGGTCATGACGGGCGGCGCTCATTGCCCGCCAGTCGCGCGGTACGATGGAAAGCACCATGTGGTGGCCGGCGGTAACAGATGCTGATGGGCAGCGGCGTGTAATGGGGGGTGCTGGCGAACGCGTTACGTGACGCGGCGCCGCGACACAACAGCCGGAGGCGTCCCAAACCGCGCTGCATCGAGCGAATGTAGGTCATGAACCGGTTATGTGTGGCGAGTATCAGTCATCTTGGTGAGGCGATTAATGGTGACGAGCCATGGCTGATTGGTGGTCATTAGCCACCTCACGTATGGCCGTCGCTCATGGCTGACACCTCTCGTTGACACGCGCACCGGTGAACGGGTCAGGGCACGCGTCCGACACGCCCCACTGGCCGGGTTCCGACGCGGCCATCTCGCGGCCGGCCGGGCGTCGCGTCACGCGCTCAGCGCGCGGACCGGCTGTCACGGCCAATCACACGTCAACAACGTGTCAATCTGACATCGCCGGCCACGGCGCCGCCTCGACAGCCGCCAGCCGCGCTCGCTCGCCGGGACCCGAGCGGCCGCCAGCGGTGCGGCACCGCCGGCGGCCGCGTCCGGACCCCGCCCGGCCGGACCCGGCCCGACGGACCGGCTGCGGCCGACGACGGCGGCCCGGTGCAGTGACCTCCGCGCCGGTCACGCGCATACGGCCATGCGCGCGCACCACCGGCACCGCCGGAACCGGACAGCGTGCCGCCGGCCGGCACAATGGACCCGGCCGGCGCGGAAGTGCGCCGCCTGGCCCAGTCCGATTGTATCTCCGCGCGCCGGATTAGCCGCCGCCGCCGGCCGGGCGGCACGCATTACCCGCGTTCAGGTCCGCGCGACGCGGCGAGCCCTCACCGCGCGCGCCAGGTCTCGTTCGCCATCGTGCGACGTCTGCGTGCGTGTCAGCGTGCGCGCGGTGTTTGACTGTGCGCACGAAAGCGGCCGGATCATCATGACGCTGCAGTCGCACGACTCCGGTCACAACTATCGGACTCGGCATCAATATTGACCGAGCTGGCTCGGGTCCGCTGACCGACGGCGGAGGCGGCCGGCATCGGCCTGGCCGATACCGGACGTGGGCAGGCTTCGGCGCCGTCTGCCGGCCGACCGTGGGTCACCGGGTCAGGCCCGAGGTCAGGCTCGGGTCGCCCAGTCACATTTACGTAAGGCTAGCAGCACCGCTACAGGAAGGGCCGGCGGCGAACCGCCGACGCAGCCGGACGTCAGTCTCGTTACGCGGCGGCGTGCCAATCTGTCGTCAGCCCCGAGCGCCACACCCGCGTCCCACCAGCGTGCTCACCGTCTCCACGAACTCAAACTTCTTCCGCTCCTGCACCTCCTGAAGCATGCAGACGTAGTCGAGGCTGGCCTGCACGAAGAAGCGCTGCTCCATCTCCAGCGACGCGTCCGCCTGCAACAGAGCCCCATAGCGGTCACCGGCGCCCGGTCACGACTCGTGACGTCGCTGCGGTCGCGACGTCACCGCGCGGAGGCGGGTCACGAGTTATGACGTTATCACGGCCGCCGCCCCGGCGCGCACTGTGCGCCGCCGCCGTGCGCCGCCGGCCGCGCGGTGGCGCCGGCCGTGCAGCGGCGGCGTCACCTCTTCATTAGATGTGGCTAACGGCGGTGCGGCGCGGCGCGGCTTGGCGGCGCACGGCGCGCGGCGCGCCGGGGCGCGCCGGCGAGCGTGGCCGCCTCCCACGACCCGGTGGCCCGGCCGGCTCGCTCGGACAGCGCGCCGTAACGGGACGGAGGCCGCTCCGCGCCCCACCGGCGTCCTGCAGCCGGGCGGTGGCGGCGTTCGCACATCGCGGCGCCGCTGATTACCGGCGGTGACTGGCGGCCGAACCATAGCGCGGGCATGCACCGCTGGGCGGCGTAACAGCAGGCCACGGCGGGGCGGCTCTGATGCGCGACCCGAGTCGGCGCCAGCCCGCCCGCGAGCAGTTATCGACTGCAACAAACCACTGCCGCTGAACGCTGCCGACATGCCGCTCAGCCCGTGCATGAGCGGAGGAGTGGAGGGCGATGAGGCGCTGGTGGTAGAGCGTTCATTCACACACGAACGTGTGCGGAAGGTTGCGGATTCGAGCCAGGCCGCCAGCCTCGCATTCCGTCGCCTCCAGCGGCGACCAACGTAAAAGAATGCCACGATACATGATCCAACGTGCTTGACGCATCATGACACCAAGACGTGACCTTCCCATTCCTACTTACCGTGAGAGGCGCGTGTCGCACACCCGACAAAGCCCGGTCAAGTCTGTCTCATATCAGCAGACCAGCCTGACAGCAGAACGATGAGGCCAAATGGAGCAGCTGGACCCCCTCCAGAGCCCTGGTGAGCGGCCGCCACCCGGTCCAGGCGCCCACGTGATTCGGCCACGGCGCCTCGGGCGACGCTCGGCGGCGGACGAGTGGCTTGGACGGACGCCAGGCCGTCAAGTGGATCACGAGCCGGTATCGGACCGCCGCGCTCGCCACAGACACTCCGTATCGCACCGAACGGACTTTCAGTACAGGACTGCTCGCGACGCCCGATGATACGACAGACCACAGCTCGAGAGCCCGGCCCCGGTGGCCACGGTGGCGCAGCCTCCCAGCCACGTGACTCTCGCGGGCCGACGCCCCCCGCCCTCCCCCTCCCCGTCCCCTCGCTGCAGCCGAAGCTGCTGAACGATGCGGCCACATGAACGCCGCCCGCCGACCGCTTCATTCTCATTGATGGATTCAGGCCGGCCGGCCTCAATGGCCCGTGCCGATCGCGATAAAGACCGGGTCCGCGGCGAATCCGGCTGACGAGCGCGGACGGGCTCCTTTGGCGGCGACAACCCGGCCCGTGTGAGCGAGCGACTGTCAGCGGCCGCCACCCGGCCCGCGCCGCTCGAGCACCGCCACCGGTGACGCTCTGGGAAGGCGGCCCCCAGGCGCGCCGGCAACCCGCTCGTGTCCGGTGTGCTTCCTTCGCCGTTCGAACAAGGCCGACGCGCTGTTGACGCGATGACAGGTTTGGTGCGACCGATCTGTCCAAATTTCCATTATTCGGGTCATAAGCCCGAATGCGAGGCTACATCCCGATTATGTAAAAATCGCCCCCGACCGCGGCGCCCATCTCCGGACTAACTACCGCCGAGCGGACGCATCGCGTGAATCGCGCGCCCAATCCGGCGCATATTCCATCCCCAATAAGACCTAAGTGTCGCCACTCGATCACGGCCGGCGTTAATCGGCGCCGGTCGAGGCGGCGCGGCCGACCGGCGCGTCCGAGCCGTGACGGGGGCGCGCTTGAGAGCGCACGGTGGCACTCACCTCGAGCAAACACTGTCGGCCAGCCGGTGACAAAAACCGGCGTCGCCGCCGCTGGCCGGGAACGGTGCGGCACGAGCGCACGCCGAACAGGAGAGACGCGACGCGGCCGGAGGACGGAGCGGACCGGGGACAAGGGATAGGCGACCGGGTACCGGATAGACTGGAGAGCAGACGGAGGACCAGCGACCGCGAACAGGGGGCCGGAGAGCGGGGATCAGAGCTCACAGGACGGAGACACGCGAGAGACGGGAGATCACAGACTGCATATGAGACACTGGGGAACGAAGGCCGGATACCGCACCTGAGGCGAGGCCACAGGCGAGGATGCAGATCGAGGGGCAGCACGCAGACAGACGCTCTGATCATCGGCCAGACGTAGCAGCCACAATGGCCTGGAGTCCAGAACTGGGGTGCGCACCGCGCCAGCAGTGGCGCCGGTCCAGCCCCGGCGGATGCGGGCTGCACGTGACATACCGGACGGCGGACCCGCGCGCGCGGACTTTGGAACCCCGTCCACCGCAGTCGCGACAGGCTCGCCGATTACGAGCGCACACTGGTCCACGGTCGAAGATCGCTGCGGACGGCGGATCGCCAGGCTCAGCTCAGCTCAAACCGTGCATCACCCTCCGAGCGCCGAGCACTGCCGGCCGCCTCCTCCGAGGACAGCCGTCCTCCTGCGCCGGGGGGCGTGCAAGGACGGCCGCCGTCTGACCGGATGCGGAAGCTTGCAGGGCCGACGGCGACGCGGCCAATCTGGGGCACGAGCGCCGCCGGCCGGCCGGCCGCAGGCAGTCCGTCACGGCCGACCCCGCGCGGCGGCCAGCACAAACACGCAGGCCGGTGCGCCGCGACTCGCTCCGACGGCGGCGGCGGGGGGCGGGGGGCGAGCGGGGGGCGGGCACCGCGCCCGAGCTGGCGCGCTGGGCCGGGCCGGCGCCTCAGCCGCTGCAGCTCACGCGGCCGCTGGACGGCTGGAGCGGCGCGGCCGTCAGCATGAGAAGCTCGCGTGTCTCGGCTTGATCAAGGCGCCGTGCGGAACAGGAGATTTGCCGCGCGGCTGCTCGGTTGCAAGAGCCACGACCTTGACGGCGACGACGCACCCTGAATGTTCAATCAGGTCCGCCCGCTACTAACCGACTTCCCTCTTGGCTCCGTGCAGCACCGGAAGACCTCCCCCGGTGCACAGACCCTCCCCCGTGCCCCCTGACCTGGGAATTACCGCCGCTTCGCCTCGCCTCGCGTCGGACCGCGGCGCGTCGCGCTATCAACAAACACGGCCCGGCTTATGCTATCGGCGGCGGCAGCGGCGCCGGACCGCCGCCCCAACACCGCTCGGGCCGTCCGTGAAGTTGACAGAGCGGGAGCCGGCGGACCAATTGACGTGTCGGCGCGCCGACCGTTTGTTTGCGACCGGCCGTGCGCCCGCGGCCGCGTGACCGTGTCGGTCGGCCGCCCAAAAACGCCGCAGCATGGGAACGGCACCCGCACAAAAACGCCCCGGGTGATCGGCCGACGGCGCCGGCGGCCGGCGGTTCGGATGAGGTCGGCGCCGCTCTCCTCGGCGCCGAGACGGAAGGCGAGTCAGTCGGGAGCGGGCGGCGCCGGCCGCTCGGGCCCGGCATTGCGACAGAGCGCCGCGTGACGGGTGTGTGTGGCTGAGCGGCAGCGCGGCGGTGCGCCGGCGAGCCGCAGCGGCCCGGCGATGCCGCAGGGACCGGGGCAGCGGCCGGCGGCGCACCGCCGCACCGAGCCGCGGCCGTGTCTGCCGGCCCAATCACGGCCAGCGGTCCGCTCTGAAGCACGGCTTGCGATCACCGCCAGCCGCACGGCACCGCAGGCCTGCTCACGGACGGGGGCAGGACAGGACAGGACAGGACAGGACAGGACAGGACAGGACAAGACAGGACAGGACAGGACAAAACAGAACAGGACAGAACAGGACAGGACAGGACATGACAGAAAAGAACAGAACAGGACAGGACAGGACAGGACAGGACAGAAAAGAACAGAACAGGACAGGACAGGACAGGACAGGGACACATTTCTTGAAGTCAAAATCCCGGCTGAAAACACACACAGCACTGGCCGGACCCCGCGCCAGCCGCCGGCCGCCCGCGAGCTGATTTAGCACCGCCAGCGCGGCGCCGAAGCCGGAAATCAAAACAGCGGAATGCCGCCGCCCAGCAGGCTCGAAATTGGACAGGCCATTACGGCGACGACGAGATCGATCGCGTGCCACGGCGCGTTTGGTCGCCGCCGCCCGCCTACAACACGTTTGGCGATGTGGGTCAGGCACCAATCAGCAGCGACGAGATTGAAGCGCCGACCCGACGGCGGTGCGTCGCTGGCCGACCGGCTGAAGGCCGCCGGTCCGGGGCGCGGTGTCGACCGGCGGCTCGCTGGGAGGCCGATGCACGCCGGCCACGGTCGGCCCGCGGCCGCCGGCGCGAACGGACCGTCGGCGACCGCCAGTCGCGCCCCGATGCCGAAGACATGAGGCGCCGTTGGAGCGAGCCGGCGAGCGACGCGCAAAACTCGCAGCGGAGCGGTCAGCGTGCCACACTTTCCTGCCGGGCGCGGTGCGCTCCGTCCAACGGGGACGCCCACCGCCCTCCAGGGCTCGTCTGCTGCGGGCAATAGCGGAAGGAGCAGGAGCGGCGGCGGCGGTGGCGCAGTCGCCGCCGATGTCCGGCAGCCTGGTGGACCCCGGCTGTCACACCCCCGCCCGCTCCAGGCGAGTCGCGCGCAGCAGGCTCGGGCAGCCGTCTTGCGTAACGCCTGTTGTATGTCGTTCATCGCATAACCCGCACTCAGGAGACCGCCGCCGGCCGGCGTCGCGGCGATCACCTGCCACCTCGGCCGCTTCTCCGCCGGGGCGGGCGGCGCCGCCCAGTCACTCTCGGCCCGGGCAGGTATCGCCGGAGAGGTCAGCCCGGTCACGGCTGTCGGCCAATCAGCACGGCGATATCGGGCGGCGGCCGGGCCCGGTAAACACGCCCGGCCGGCGGCGAGGCCGCTCCGCCGCCTGGCCGGAGCGCACGGCCGACCGCCGCGGCGGCCGAGCCGGGCGGCGGCGCCGGTCCCAGGCTCGCGGGCCGGGGT